TATATATATATATATATATATTCAACTACCTAAAAAACCTCAAAAAGGAATCAAAATGCAACAAACTTTTCCACCACAACGTTCAGTATATTTTGTTTTTCATCTACTGCCTTCTGCAAAGAATCTGTTTTCTCTTCGAGAAGCCTATTTCCCGTTTTTAAAGTTTCGACACACTTCTCTTCATCTTCTACCTTTTTCTCGTAGTCAGCAATAATCTTTCGAAAATTTAAAATCTGAATACAACACGTTTATAAAGTAGCACTCATCAAGAGGCTTTATAGACTCCTAAACCACAAAAAAATTTTTTATAAAACATAGTTGCCTTCGTAAAATTTTAAAATTTTCTCCGCTGTTTGCCGGCAGAAAAAAAAACATAAAAAAACTTAGTAAAAAGATGAAAGAAAAATTTTTTAAAGGTGAGGTTGAATGATAAGCAGACCGTGAGCCCCTTTTCTAATTCAAAAAACTGGAGAACAAAAAAAACAAAAGTTTTAAACAAAGAACAAGCCTCCGAGAACAAAAACTTTAGAAGAAAGAACCTCAGCCTCGTTATCTCTGTTGCTGTAGAGCTGTCGCAACTTATCAGTCTGCCGGAGAGCATCTTCACGTTTGGCAATGACTTGTTCAAGTTCCCTTTCTCGCATCTAAAAGCCATAATTGGTGACAATAAGAATAATAATTTAAGAAATCACAACCTCTGCAAAAGTTAGAATGTAAATGAACCTTCATTAAATGTATTTTCTTCTCAAAAACATTTATGATCTGCGACACTCGAGAATCTTTCAGCTGAAAAGAAAATAAACATATAAAAAATCAAATTCAATCAACTACAAGTGACATATAGAAATAATTAGATAAATCTTACATCCATGCCATTTTTCATTCGCAGAAGCAAATCGTCTAATTGTTTTAAGGAATCAGGATCCGGTTGGGAAAAAAATTCCGGTGTTTTCCTGCCAGACGAAAGTGAGTCATCACCGTGCCCATTTATCTGATGTTCAGAAATGGTTCTAAAAAATGAATCAGCAAATTACCAAACTTTACAGAGTTAATACGGAAAAGAGCACCCATGGAAAGCAATAAATGGAAATAGTTAATCATGAACCAAGCAACCTCGCAAATGCAGGATTTTTTGACGCTGACAAGGAATAGATGTTTCTATCGTCTCCACAACTTGCTATCAAATCCCCTAACCTAAAAAAATGCATGACCCCCTATAAAACATGAAGTTGAGTTTCAGACTGAAGATACAAATAAAAGATGTAATAATTTTAGTTCAACCAAAAAGCAAGAGAAACTACACCATTTTGTTGGGAACGCTTGCACCTGAGCACAGTGTGTATAAAGCTGCAGTGCCCTGTACGTCATTTCGTGTTTTCCACATGCAATCGCATAGGCGATAAAAGCAACCAGACGATCATCCTTAAATTGAAAAAAAAGAAGGTGAAGCTTTGGTTTACTGAAGCTGCTAATCCAACATGTCACCTTCCAATCATTCCTACCTTCAACAACTTCCAGTACTGATCTTTATGACACTTTGAATAGTCCTTTAATGCCGCGAGCACTCTAGACAGTTCGAGAACTATCGTTACTCCATCAATACTAAAAACAAAATCAAAAAGCGATAACACTACGTTAAAATTCAAACCTTTCCAAAAAAACCAGAAGTTTTTTATCGCTGAGAACCGTTAACGTGCACAGCCTAACAGCAAAGACTGAGAAATCACTTAGTTATTCAAACAAAGACTTATTTGTATTAAATAAAAAAAACCTTCTTCAAACAGGAAGAGTTACCTCCAAGCAGGTAAAAGCTCAGTTCTCTGAACTGGTGGTCTTCCCATATATACAATCACCGGATTGGAGATCATCTGGGACTCTACAATATGAGCGCACAAAGGGGCAGTGACCACATCCAAAATATCTGCCCTTACATCATCGTCAGCAGATACAGCTGAAAGTACGACCTTAACACAAAATCTTGCTAAAATCAAAGAAGGCGCGAAAAAATAAAGATTAATTATCGTTAAAACGATAAACTTGCTTTCAGCAAGTCGAAGGCCTTCAGTAATGCGTCGACACTGATCTGAAACCACATCAGAACTCGTTTCAATTGGCGTTTTTAAGCTGTTTTCTATCAGCTGCATTAAATGTTCGATAGGTACAAATTCTTGAACATGATTCCCGTTATCAATCGCTTCCTTAAAATACCTTATAAACAAATGTAGCCTTCAAACACAGAAGGCAAACCACAAAACAAAGCACAGCATGAAACTTACTTTCAAGAGGCACCTTAACAAGCGCATAGCGTTTAATGGGACCTCTGGTGTAATAGCTTCCTCAAATGAAAGTCTTGCAGTGTTATACACTGAAAGAACCGGAGTTGTAAGACGCTGTTCCGTTGCTGGACATTTTAAGATCGCTAATGCTGTGGGTTTGCTCATCTGTGGCAAAGAGCAGAATGAAAGAAATACATCATATATCTGAAACCCAAACATGTTATCCCGAAAACTTCAAAGCATATCAATACCAGCCGCGGAAAGTCGCTAGTTTTGCCCTCAAGAAAAACTTTTACAGAGAACAGTTGGGAATACTAGGACGACTGTCCAGCTATTACACAGCTTGTGTACAAAGACTGCAACTGAATGATTACGTGAATAGCTTGACTTCTATAGCTACAAACGACGCTTCTTACAGTATCAAAATACAGACTTTCAGTGATTCCTCTGAACGTGAATCCATCTGAGCCAGCAGTCCAGCTACTGACTGAATAGAATTCTCAAAATAAGAATAGTTTATCAGATCTTTCCCAGTCGTGGTAATTGCGGGAGTAGAAGATACCTAGAAAAAAAAA